CACTTCTCATTAGAGTTAGGAAAAGAACAAACATTTTAAGAAATATTATGCTCACTCTGATAGGCTATATGAATACTGACTTCCTGTCCCTCCATTTATATAGTTTGGTGAGATGATAACGTGCTTCTACAACTTTGGAAACTTTCCAATCACTGAGGGGAAGTTTATTACCGATTTCCCACATTTGCAACATTTGAATGTGGTAGCAAAATGGAGAACTTATTTTAGTTTACAGGCCAAGGAGAGCCCGTTCAAATGCTATTTATTACTCCTTCCTTCCAAATTTAGGGACAGAACGATCAGCAGTTATGATGATAATGGAACAAGGAAGTTGGAAATGAGAATGTAAGGCAAGTGGTGAGATGCATCCCAGGGAAACATGAGCCATGAAGCTATTCCTCTGTAAGAAGGCAAAGGGTTACAGGGTCAACTGCAAACCAGATCTCCAGGTTCACAGTTAGCCACTATGTTTTGACCTCTGGAAACATAGGTCAGTGTTTATAGCCTTGGTGGAATTCCTGGCTTAGGGCAGCAGAAGAAAAATCAGACGAGACAGCCAGACCACATAGAGAAAGACGTTTAAGTGCATAATGGTGCTCTTGCCTTCCTTTGAACAAGGAAGCAATGTCCTAAGCATGCTTTAAGTTCCCTGCTTCCTAAATGCATCCATTGCACAGAATGCAAGACAGAAGACTAGATTAAATAGGTCCTTGGCCTGATCCAACAAGACTCTGCTGATCTTAGGCTTCCATGGCTGCACAGAATGGGGAAGAAGGATGCTAAAAACCACTCACAATGATTGGCTAATAAAACCACAGGAAGTGCCACAAAGAAGGTGAATAACCCCTTAAGCTTCCTACTATGGGTACAATTAGGGGTAGGATTCTACAGGTTTGCACTTATTCGCTAGAACCGGTTGTTAACATTCTAAGCAGTTCGGAGAACCGGTTGTTAGAAGAAATTACTGGCCTAATCCTGTAAGGAAGACAGGAAGGAAACATTCTGGTGTTGCTTACAGAAACTGCCTCTCCGTTAACCCTTATTACATTCTTGGCAGGACTAGACTTCCTGTCTCAGGAACTTCTCTGGAGTTTTTTTCCCCTCCTTGGCTGGTACTTTGCTTGTGTAGAGTGACCATTCAAAGTTACAATGGCACTGAAAAAAGTGACTTATGACCATTTTTCACACTTACGACTGTTGCAGCATCCCCACCGTCATGAGAGGCCAGGTGAAGAGATGCATGCCTCAATGTGAGTGATATTGAGTTGGCCACACCCAGCCAGTAACATGGCCATCAAGCCATGTCTACCCAGTCACCAAGCATGACCACCAAGCCACGCTCACCACCTAAGCCACGCCCACAGAACCGGTTGTTAAAAATTTGAATCTCACCCCTGGGTACAATACTTTGAATTGGAGTGGCTAGAATTTATGAAGTAGCAGATGTAATAAAGTTCACAGTGGGAAATCTATTTGATGAAAAATGAATTTCCTCCACAATTGGCAAATATTGCTGTACAACAGATGCTGGGCATAAGATTTGTGTGTATGTCTGCCTTAGTGTATTGTGTGAGGCCAGCCTACAATTTAGTTGTAATGCTACTCAACTCCACTCGATTCTGCTTTTCTAACAGACTTCTTAAAGCTGACTTTGTCTATGTTTATATAGTTAAACCCATGTAACCATCAAAGATGTAGCAGTTATATTCACATAATACACTAAGCTTGGTGTTAACCTTGGGTATGCTTTTTGGCCAAGTTTGTTAGCTATTGGGTAAGTTTATAATTCAATGTACAACTTCAACTTATGACCACAACTGGGATGGAAATTTCCATCATAAATTGGTGGCTTATAGTCTGAGTTATCACGTAACAAGACCCAATTTTACAGCTATTTTTTTTACTGCTGTTAAGCAAATCACTTCAGTTGTTAAGTGAATCATGTGGTCATTAAACAAATTCAGCTTCCCCAATTTAAGTTTTGGGTTGAAAACTGGGTGGAAAGGTTGCAAATTGTTCTCACATGATTGCAGGATGATGTAACTGGTGTGAATGTGAACTGATTGCCAAGCACCCAACTATGATCATGGACAGTGGGGTGATGTGACATTTGTAAGTGCAAGGAAAGGTCATAAACGGTTTCTTCCAAGGCTGTCCTGATTTTGAACTGTTGTTAAATAAATAGTCATAAGTTGAGGATCACCTATATTGCACGAAGCATCTAATGCTTAATAATTCAAAGAACCAGGTTCAGAGTGTGACTGAAAATAATCTCTGTCTCATAGATTCTTTCTCCAGGGTGAATTCTCTTTTTCCAATATCCAAGAAAGAAAGAGCTTCCTTCTTTCTCCAGCAGTTGCTTTAACTAGGATAATTATAAGTTACACAAAAGAAGATTCTGCTTTTACCATTCTATTTTATATCTGTAATTTTAACAACTTTTTAAAAACTAATCGTTTTCAAATTCTGCCAGAGACCATTTTAGCCATGCTTTTTCCCCTCTTAAATAATAAAGTATGGACATGAGGATTGTACCCACCCTTCCTAAGAATTAAAAGTGGTTTAAAAAAATGGCTACCTGAACATTATGGTTTGTACAAAAAACATGCACAGTCTTAAAACAGCATTAGAATCTTTTCATCTAATGTGCCTGCAAAATCCAACAATATTATTATTATTACTTTAAAATTAATCTTCCCTTTCATTTGTTTTTTTTCTTCCTACTCTAAAAATCTCTAGTGTTTTACAAGCAATTATACTCTCTCTCCTTCTTAGCTCGCACGCCAGTCTTTTTCGGAACTGAAATGTGCATAACGGTTACGCATCTGTGTTTGTGGAACAGGACAGTGGGAAGTTCATACATTAAACAGATAGATAGGTAGGTAGGTAGGTATGTAGGTAGATAGGTAGATAGATAGAATTCTTTATTGGCCAAGTCTGATTGGACACACAAGGAATTTGTCTTGGTAAATATGCTCTCAGTGTGCATAAAAGAAAAGATACATTCATCAAGAGTCAAGAATCATAAGGTACAACACTTAGTAAAAGTCATTGGGTACAATAAGCAATCAAATCATACTAGGAAACAGTCAATAAAAATCGTTAGGATACAAGCAATAAGATTATGGTCATAGAGTCATAAGTGTGAGGAGATGGGTGAAAGGAAGGATGGGAGGATTAATAGTAATAGTAATGTAGTCTTAGTAAATAGTTTGACAGTGTTGAGGGAATTATTCGTTTAGCAGACTGATGGCGTTTGGGAAAAAAAACTATTTTTGTGTCCAGTTGTTCTGGTGTGCAGTGCTCTATAGTGTCATTTTGAGGGTAGAAGTTGAAACAATTTATGTCCAGGATGTGAGGGTTCTGTAGCAGAGGTGGTATTCAGCAGGTTCTGACCAGTTCTGGAGAACTGGTAGCAGAAATTTTGAGTAGTTTGGAGAACCGGCAAATACCACCTCTGACTGGAGATTTTACAGTATCCTTCCCCTGCCATGCCCACAGAACCGGTAGTAAAAAATTTGAATTCCACACTGGTCTGTAGACATTTTCACAGCCCTCTTTTTGACTTGTGCAGTATATAGGTCCTCAATGGAAGACAGGTTGGTAGTAATTGTATTTTCTGCAGTCCAAATTACTCTCTGAGGTCTGTGTCTGTCTTGTTGCTTTTATCAGCTGTTTTCAAATAATTCCAAGTTATTTTGGGGGTTCCCTTGATAGAATGTGGCCAATAATATTAATAAACCTCTTTCCCTGTAAAACAGCATCCTGAGGCCTACTTCCAGTTTCCAAGGGTTTTTAGCAAGTATTCTCCGAAGGAAACTGTTACAGCTTTTAGTTTTATATGCATTTTGGTTGCAATATTCTGAGGAAATCCTTTGTTTTTTAAAAAAGTTGTAACTCAGAGGAATATGCAGGAGATAAATAATTATCCTAGTTAGAGCAGTCACTGAAGAAGGAAGTTCTTTCTGTGGTGTTGGGATAACCGTTGCTTACCTGAGAGATTCGGGGAACGGTGACTACCTCTAGAATAGTGCAAAGTGGCCTCTGTAGGAAGGCTGGGGGTCACAATGGGCTGGGCCATTTTCCAGAAAGATGATCTTTGGAAGAGGTAAGAGAAACAAAAAGCATGACAGGGCAGGTAGGAGGAGGCCCGAGCCTGGGTAACCTGGCAGGGCGGGAAACAGGCCTAAGGCTGTGGGATCCAAGAGATGAAAAAACAGGCCCAAGGCTGTGCGATCTGGGAAGCTGTGCAGAGGGGGGGCTACCTGGGAGGTTCTGGGAGGCCCAGAAGAAGCCCTATATTAAAATTTGTGGTACCTATTTATTGTTTTGTAGTGAGTTTTAATTGAAAGTCTGTAAGCTGCCTAGAGCTGCGTCTGGTGAGAGGGGCAGGATAGAAGTCAAGTAAGTAAGTGAGCAAGCAAGCAAGCAAATAATAAACCAACCAACAAGCAAGCAAGCAAGCTAGGCGTGTGCTGCAGTGTAAGCCTGGACTTAAAATAGAGTATTGCCCTGCACCAGGCCTCTCGTACCCTGAGGCACCCCATTCTCTGCTTAATGAACTGCACAGTCACTTAATGACTGCAACTGGGAGAGTCAGGACTGCAGTCATTGAACAAGGTGGGTACCTTGCTTTTCAACCACAACGACATGAGTCACCATAACAAAAGACTACCTGTAGTCATTCACCTTACAATTGCAATTGATTAATGAATGAATGTTTTATCCCTGTTTTTAACTGAAATTGTTGGAAACTGAATCTTTCAGCTTCTTTATGCAAGCAAATATTCTCTCACAGAGCTCTTGTCCTTTCATTAAAATTGACCTAATAATCACTATCATGAATTGATACGTAACAACATCACATTCTAGATTCTTTGACGGGCCTAGAGTATGTTCTTAGATTCTGATTTTTAAACAATACACATATATATACAAAGAGGAATGTTAAACTTGAATGACAGTAGAAAAAGAAATTAGAAAATAATTCACACCAGTACCTGTTACTAAGCTGGATACAATGAGAGGCAAAACCAACATTTGCAGCATTCTCATTAACAGTTCTCCAGGGAAAGAAAAATATTTCACTTCTCGGTAGCTGAAGTGATAGGATCGGAGACCAAAGCCAAGGATGACACCTAAGAAAAAAGAAACCATGGTGCTTTATTCTTCTGCAAGCATTATTTAAACACATAGATTTGGTACAGCTGTAACTGACAAGAACATTCACAGATACACTGAGGTCAGAACTACAAATTCTTACCAGTTTGATGTTGGCTGCAACTGAGCTTGTAGACTGGGATTTGTGAGGCAATAAAATAGTCTCTGCTGAATTATCTAGCTTCCAGAAAATAAGGAAATAATCAAACATTGATTTTCCTGAGGCATGAATGTGCTTGGACTTCATACACTTAGGGCTTGCCCTGAAGAGAAATCCTCACACAAACTTTTATTTACTTCTGAAAACTTGATGTACAATCGAGCTATTGATCATTATCATTATAAACACTTTTTTCAGTAATCTACTTTTCAATCAGAAAGTAGAACAACCTATATATAGTACTAACGGTGAAGTCTCCTGTGCTATTCAGAACACCCATGGAGGATAGTGAAGTTTATTCCCATCTAATTTGGAGAGAATTGCAAATTCTGCATGTTACTCAATTCTGTTTATGTTTTAGGAAGAAAAACAGTTCACCCTTTCTTTTGATTGGAAGTGAGGGAAGGGCCTTTGTAGGCCATTCATGGTTCTCCCCACTTCCTTTCCATTGACCAGAGGAGCAGTTGGTATGCAGCTGTACAGTTCTGAATGAACGTACGACTGTTTTATTTCATACTCTTCAACAGCTGAGCCAGTCTTAAACAAAAAGGGGACTTAAAAGAGAACATGTGAATTCATGCTTATTCTGAAAGTACAGTACCATTCTTTTCGCTATAAGTACAAGGAGAAACCCACACAAAAATGAGGACCAGTTGGGTGAAGTGGATGAAGTATCAGGCTACAAACTGGGAGACCATGAGATCTCCTTAGGCCTGAAGTGTTGCCTTAGGTGTGAAACTTGGGCCACACACCCTCTCTCAGCCTAAGGAAAGCAATGGCAAACCACTTTTGAAAAACTTTGCCAATAAAACTTCAAGGACTATTCTATGCAATTGCTATGAGTAAAAAAAAAAACTTACTCCAAGGCATCAAACCACAAGACGAGCAGCATATAAATTTAATAAATAAATGAAGGCACACACCGACACACGCACACAAATCTCCATGCAAAGTTTTAAAACTTTACAAATTCCTCTCTGTGTTCTTGCAATTAAAACACCAATTCACCAATGAACTGATATTGTCTTTCATTTCATTAAAGACACCAATGGATACTATGCTTTGACAACAGAGCAATGACTGCAGGTAAAAAATAACAAGCAAGGCTGGTTGGAAATCCAAGGGGCTCCAGTATAGATTCTATGTAGATGTAGAATACCCCTCCTCTACAAAGGTTTAAGTTTCCTAACAATTTGTGAGCCTATCTATGGAACAAAGCCCAGTAAGAAATCTCCCAAAGTTGTTCTGCAGGTTTTCTTCTGACTTTTTACATGGGGTGGGGGGAGAGAGGAAGCAAGCATTCAGAAAGAATACGGGGGAGCACATATTTCAAAAAGACAAAGCAATTCTAATGCCGTTTCTTGTTTCTTTTTAGGAGAACGATGCATTAAAAGAAACTGTCCAGGTGCGCAGTCTAAACAAAGACTTTAAAAATGAAAAAGCTTGCAAGATGTAGCTCTGTACAATCACCAAACCAAACAAAATGCAAGTTTTTGATTCTATTTTGTACTTCTCCATGTTAAAAGGGAAATATAAATGCGGGATTCTGAAATGTAACTCTGATTTGTTACTAAATTTAATTAATTATTGAAATCTTTTGATTAGGGGTCATGCAAAATAACAATATATAGAATGTACCGTTATTGCATGATAAACCTACGGATGTCAGTACCAATCTTAAGTAAGACAGGTTGCACTATAGCAGTATTTTTCAAATTTAGCAATTTTAAGATGTATAAGCTTCAACTCAACTGGAAGCTGGCTGAGGAATTTTGGGAACTGAGATCCACACATCCTAAAGTTGCCAAGTTTGATAAAAACACCAATCTATGGCATTTAAATTTGGAATAAAATAATATTGATATCCAAAGCACAAATGTCAAATATTGCTTACTTAATATTATTTGCAAGGCTAAATAAATGAAAAAAGATTAAAATTACAATAGTATTTCCATAAAAACAAGTTTCACAATTGTATCCTTAAATAATAATTGTTTCTTGGCCAAAGCACTCAACCAATCTTGTATCTGAGTATTGATATGTTCATTATTATGGTGTATTCCCACAGTGTTAAAATCCTGAAATTTACTCATTATGATTTAGTATTATGTGAAACCATTATTTCTTGCTTAACAAATTGGTTTAAACAAAAACAAAAACCCTGCCTTAGCATTATACAGCAGTGTTTCCCAAACCTGGAAAAATGATCTATATTTGATTAAAAGTGATTTTTTTCTTTTGGTAATGACATATTAACCTATTACCCAATCACAATAGGGACATTAAAATTGACTTAAAGTGTTTTGCCCATATTGAGTAAAGAACTTTTTGACAGCAATTTTGAGTATGAAAAAGCTTGGGAAGTTTTGGTTTAATGTCCTTGTGTTTCAGAGAAAACTTAGAAGATAAATCAAATCAAGAAACTGAACAAGAACTTTGTTTTTCTTCAGCTAGACAAAAGGAGATATCTGACTCTAATCAGATACAATTATATACATCCAGGGTCCTTTTTCAGTACAGGTAGTCCTCAACTTACAACAGTTCATTTAGTGACCATTCGAAATTACAATGCACCTCATTGGGTGGTTGCAAATGGTAAAATGCAGGTTGTCCTTCACCTACAACCAGCAACTGTTTGAGGTGACAAAGCATGCCCCCCAAAGTACTTATAATCCAGATTTGAAATTCCATCCCTCCCCTCCCTGCATGGTCATGTGAATACATTTTGAGATCTCTGCAACTAGCTCACATTTATGGCTTTGTGCAGTATCCCACGGTCATGTAAGTGTGATATTATTCCTCCCATGATTAGAAACTACTATTGATATAGCCTAAAATTGCATTTGCTTTGTTTCCAACCGCCTCTCAAAGGGTGACTCATTTGGACATTTTTGCTGGAAATTGGCCTTTACTTCACAACTGCTGCTTCCACTTAATGAATATTGCAAAAAAATTGTAAAATCAGGTATGATCATGTGATAATAGGATATAATTCTTTATTGGTCAAGTGTGATTGGACACATAAGGAGTTTGTCTTGGTGCAAATGTTCTCAGTGTACATAAAAGAAAAGATACATTCGTCAAGAGTCAAGAATCATAAGGTACAACATTTAATAATAGTCACAGGGTACAATAAGCAATCAAATCATACTAGGAAACAGTCAATATAAATCATAAGGATACAAGCAACAAAGTTACCGTCATACAAGTGGGAGAGGGTGGTGATAAGGAGTGATGAGAAGATTAATAGTAATAGTAGTGCAGACTTTGTAAATAGTTGGACAGTGTGGAGGGAATTATTTGTTTAGTAAAGGGATGGTGTTCGGGGAAAAATTGTTCTTGTGTCTAGTTGTTCTGGTGTGCAGTGCTCTATAGTGTCGTTTTGAGGGAAGGAGTTGAAACAATTTATGTCCAGAATGTGAGGGGTCTGTAAATATTTTCACAGCCCTCTTTTTGACTTGCGCAGTATACAGGTCCTCGATTGAAGTTGGTAGTAATTGTTTTTTCTGCAGTCCTAATTACTCTCTGAAGTCTGTGTCTGTCCTGTTGGGTTGCAGAACCAAACCAGACAGTTATAGAGGGGCAGATGACAGACTCAATAATTACACTGTAGAACTGTATCAGCAGCTCCTTGGGCAGTTTGAGCTTTCTGAGTTGGTGCAGAAATAACATTCTTTGTTGTGCTTTTTTGATGATGTTTTTGATGTCAGGTGTCCATTTTAGGTCTTGTGATATGATAGAACCTAGAAATTTGAAGGTCTCTACTGTTGATACTGTATTGTCTAGTATTGTAAGAGGTGGTAGTGTGGGAGGGTTTCTTCTAAAGTCTACCACCATTTCTACGGTTTTGAGTGTGTTCAGTTCCAGTTCCTGACTCTGTGGTTTCTTCCCCAACCCCAAAAACTTTAACCTTAGACTGTCTACTATTGACCTCACCCTCTTCCTAAGGGGCGTGCATAAGGGCACCAATCGTGCCTACCATCCCTGTCCTATTGTTTCTTTTTATTTTTCTTATAAGTATCTAACTCATGTATTCAAAACTATGTTTATTCTTATACCTGTATCTTGTAAGTGATTGACAAATCAAATAAATGCTAAATACTAGATTGTTCCGGTTACACCTCGAGGCAAGTTGTCTGTATGAGGATTCATCGTTGTCTTGATTGAGACCAATCACTGTTGTATCATCCGCTGAATGACCAGCATAATTTATGACTGTAATTGTGGGCTCAATTCATTAGTCCAAAACAAGGGTCTTCAAACTTGGCAAGTTTAAGATTTGTGGACTTCAACTCCCAGAATTCCGGAGCTAACATGACTGAAGGATGAATTCTGGGAGTTGAAGTCCACAAGTCTTAAAGCTGTCAAGTTGGTTCAAAAGGATTGGGACAATGAGCAAATAAACACCTATATTACTCTTTAAATTAATTTAAATTTAACTGAATTAGGTTAACTAATCACTGATCTTAAACTCAGATCTTTTCTAGTTTGTAGGCGTTAATGAAGTAAAGTACTAGAACTGAAGAGACAGGGCAAAAAATTATGGGTCTGTTGTCTCATATGATATTAACTTTGTCACCATGAAAATACCTTGTCCCTTCTCAAAGCAAAGATGGATCTGAGATGGGAAGTGAATAGAACCTTGAAGTAGTGGACAATATAGCAGGATTATATGTGTATATTATATAAGAGATTCAAAAGATTTGTTTCAGGATCTTTGATATCTGATGTGTTGCCAGTGGAGAAACAATAGGTGCTGTATGGGTTTGTATTCTTAAGAATTGTGTTATTGTCCCATTAATATCCAGCTAAGAATTT